CTTAAGCTTTCTGTGGCATTTATGTACATGGGACATGTACGAGAATTATTAGTAGCTAACTGAGGGGTACGTCCATCCTCAGTTGATGAGATGTCATCACTGGACCAAAGAAGTGAACGTTGATGAAATCCTGAAGTGATACTTGATGCTTTACTCCCATGCATCATTGTCTTCAGGGAGTTTAATTTTGATTCACTGCTGAGAAGAACACCCCTGAAAATAAAGCAACACTTTTAATGCTTTAGTGTTAGAAGTACATGTATTTGATGTTGGCTAATCAATCAATTGTATTATTCAGAATAATGCACATGTAGGGTGTTCAAATTCTGAAAGAAAAGAAAAGAAAAAAAATCTAGTGCTTCTCTTATTCAGCAACAAATACTGAATTTAAAAATATTTCAGAAATACAGTAGGACCTCGCTTTATGGCATTTTGCTAATACGGACATTGCAGATTATCGCCAAAACTCGCTATACAGCTTCCCTGTCTTCGTAATAAGGTCACTACGCCCCACCTGGTTTGTTTACATTCTCTGTGAGCATGTCTTGATTATGCCTGGAAACACTCCAAAATTTCAAGGGTTTTAATGTTATTTATGTGGGCGAGGGGCTTGGACATCCAGCAAGCATGCGTGAGCATGTCAGATAGGAGTGAATGGAGACCAATGGTATTTGGGACCTGATGAGCTGTTGGAGTGTGAGCAAGGTGGTATTTAGTGAAGGGATTCAGGGAAACCGGTTATTTTTATATAGCTGGACTCAGAGTCCAGGAAATGGGAAGTACAATGCCTGCACTTTAAACGAGGGGTTTGGGATATTGGCAGTTTGGAGGGATATGTTGTGTATCTTTATACGTATATGCTTCTAAACTGTTGTATTCTGAGCACCTCTGCAAAAACAATGATTATGTGAGTGAGGTGAAAGTGCTGAATGATGATGAAAGTATTTTCTTTTTGGGGATTTTTTCTTTCTTTTTGGGTCACTCTGCTTTGGTGGGAGATGGCCGACTTGTTAAAAGAAAAAAAAATTACATACGTACACGTTATTTTTTCCAACAAGTCGGCCATCTCCCACCAAGGCAGGGTGACCCAAAAAGAAAATACTTTCATCATTCAACACTTTCACCTCACTCATACATAATCACTGTCTTTGCAGAGGCACCCAAATACAACAGTTTAGAAGCATATATAGATATATAAAACATATCTGTCCAAACTGCCAATATCCCAAACCCCTCCTTTAAAGTGCAAACATTGTACTTCCCAAGTCCGGCTAAATAAAAATAACCAGTTTTCCTGAATCCCTTCACTAAATATTACCCTGCTCACACTCCAACAGCTCGTCAGGTCCCAAAAACCATTTGTCTCCATTCACTAGTATCTAACACGCTCACACATGCTTGCTGGAAGTCCCAGCCCCTCGCCCACGAAACCTCCTTTAACCCCTCCCTCCAACCTTATTGAGGATGACCCCTACCCTGCCTTCCTTCTACAGATTTATATGCTCTCCATGTCATTCTACTTTGATCCATTCTATGTAAAGTAGGACACAAGTGCAACTAATGTGACATTTTTATTGTGGCAATGTTTCACTCTGCAGGAGCTTTGTTAAGCCATTACAAACAATATATGGACACAAGTTATATATAGGATAAGAGTGAGGTGTAATACTAGTGGCAGTACTAGTAGTAATATATTACTACTACTACCGCTAGTATTACACGTCACTAAGCCTATATATACCCTCTGTGTCCATATATTGTTTGTAACGGCTTGACAAAGATCCTGGAGAGTGAAATGTTGCCACAATAAAAATGTCACATTAGTTGCACTTGTGTCCTTTTACTTTGCATATTGTTGGTAATTCTACCAACATTATTACATTCTCTCTAAATGACCAAACCACCTCAACAACTCCTCATCAGCCCTCTGACTAATACTTTTATTAGTTCCACACCTTCTACTAATTTCCACATTCTGAATTCTCTGCATAAATATTTACACCACGCATTGCCCTTAGACAGGACATCTCCACTGCAGCATTTACAACCCAAGCTTCACACCCATATAAAAGTGTTGGTACCACTATACTTTCATACATTCCCTTCTTTGCCTCCATAGATAACTTTTTTTTTGTCTCCACACCACTCACCTTTTTCCTTCATCAATTCTATGGTTAACCCCACTCTTCATAAACCCATCCACTGACATGTCAACTCCCAAATTTATGAAAACATTCTCTTCCATTATCCCTCTCTCCAATGTGATATCCAATTTTCTTTATCTAAATCATTTGATACCCTCATCACCTTACTCTTATCTATGTTCACTTTCAACTTTCTACCTTCACACACCCTCCCAAACTTGTCCACTAACCTTTGCAACTTTTCTTTAGAATCTCCCATAAGCACAGTATCATCAGCAAAAAGTAATTGTGTCAACTTCCATTTTGTATTTGATTCCCCATAATTTAATTCCACCCCTCCCCCAAATACCCTAGCATATATTTCTTTTACAACCCCATCTATAAATATATTAAACAACCATTGTGACTAAACAAAAAAAAGGCACAATACCGTGACTGGAAAGATACACAAATAACCCGCACATAAAAGAGAGAAGCTTACGACGACGTTTCAGTCTGACTTGGACCATTTACAAAGTCACACTAACCAGAAGTGGAGCAGGAGGATGGAGGAGGAGGAGGATGGAGGAGGATGGAGGAGGATGGAGGAGGATGGAGGAGGGAGGAGGATGGAGGAGGATGGAGGAGGATGGAGGAGGATGGAGGAGGATGGAGGAGGATGGAGGAGGATGGAGGATGGAGGAGGAGGAGGAGGCGGCGGCGGCAGCACAAGAATGGTATATAATACTGACAAGATGAAATCAAGAAACATGCGCAACATTGTGACATTACACATACTTGTCTAAGACCTACTTTTACCGGGAAGTACTCTCTCTTCTACATACCCTAACCTGAGCCTCACTATCCTTATAAAAACTCTTTACAGCATTTGGTAACTTACTACCTATTCCATATACATACTTGCAACATCTGCCATACTGCTCCCCCATCCACTATCATATGCCTTTTCTAAATCCATAAATGCAATGAAAACTTCTCTACCTTTATCTAAATACTGTTCACATATATGCTTCAATTAAACACATCCCCTACCCACTCTAAAGCCTCCTTGCCTCTAATTCTTTCAATAATAACCCTACCATACACTTTTCCTGGTATACTCGGTAAACTTATTCCTCTAATTTTTACAATCTCTCTTGTCCCCCTTCCCTTTATATAAAGGAACTATACATGCTCTCTGCCAATCCCTAGGTACCTTCCCCTCTTTCATACAATTATTAAACAAAAATACCAACCACTCCAACACTATCTCCCCCTGCTTTTAACATTTCTGTCATAATCCCATCATTTCCAGCTGCTTTACCCCCTTTCATTCTACATAATGCCTCACACACCTCCCCCACACTCACATCCTGCTCTTCTGCACTCCTAAAAGATGTTGTACCTCCTTGGTCAGTGCATCAAATTATCGCCTCCCTGTCTTCATCGACATTTAAAAGTTCCTCAAAATATTCCCGCCATCTACTCAATACCTCCATCCCCCCCATCTACTAACTCCCCTACTCTGTTTTTAACAGACAAATCCATTCGTTCCCTAGGCTTTCTTAACTTTTTTATCTCACTAAATTTTTTTCTTATTTTCATCAAAATTTCTTGACAGTGCCTCTCCCACTATCATCTGCTCTCCTTTTGCACTCTCACCACTCTCTACACAATCACGAATGAGAATGATCTATCACGATTTCTCAGGGATACTAATCTTACAGAGAATAACTGAACAACGTCCAACCTAAAAGCCTACGTAGTGTAGTGTATGTTTTGCTCCATTATTGTTCAAATTTCATTGTACAATCTCTTAGTAATTAAATAATCAACTACCTCATTTTGTGATTTTACTAGTAAGCATAAGTCACCTTATGTAATTTTCTTATTTACTATTGTTTGCTTAAACATTAGCTGAATTGATACTTTCTCTGTCCATATTACTACCTCATATTTTTTAAATACTATCAATTGATATTACTTACTAAAATTAAAAATTTTACCATTTTTACTATAATTTCAATTTACTCTCAACATTTTTAACATTAATAACCATTACTTGTCTAATTACCTTTATCTGTTTTAATACCACATTTACTATTTTAGAGTACTTTTAATTTACCTTGTACTGCCAAAATAACCTCAATTTATAACTACCAGTGCAATATTGAATGAAATAAACATTACTTTTTCACTTTTTTGTAATCTTTTATTACTTACAAAAATTTTTATTAAACCACCATATTTACTACCAGTCAATTTTACTTTTTTACATTAAACATTATTTTATACTTCCCATAACATTTTGTTGCCAAATTTTCAAGTTTGTATATTCAACTCCAACCTTTATTTATCCTTTGTACCTGTGACCTGTCTACCATCTTACTATTATATTATAACCAAGACTTTAAACCATTGTTATTTTTTTACTATTATTCTTTTGGTCTTTAATTGTAATTTTATTTTGTCAATTTAAATCTAGTTATACTCTTGATCTTGTCAACAACAATACCAGACTAGTGCAATTGCAAGTACCATTTCAATTTGTATTTTTAATTATAAGTTATATTGAAAGTCCTACTCTAAGATTGTTTTCATATCTTAGTGACTATATTGTGTGTGCAATTAGTTATATTTCAATTATATTATTGTTCAAGGGCCCTTAACTATCTTTTGCTAACTAGTACCAACTACCTCATATATTTTTTTTTCTACTTTTTTTATTCTTTGCTACCTTAACTTGTATATTTTATCTTGTCAATTTAAATCTATTTACTCTAATTCTTGAAACAACTTATTTAACACCTTAGTGCAATTAAAAAACTGAGAGTCTTGTGCTTTTTTACATCATTAGATTAAACTCAGTTGTACTATAGCCATTCTAGCTCAATACATAGTCAGTACCAAGTCATTATATTAGACCATAGCGTAATTACTAGTGAGAGCCTGGTGCTATTTTTAATTTGTTTTTTCTACATTATTAGATTAAACCTAGTTGTACTATTGCTCACTCAGGTCAATACATAACTATACCAAAGTCATTACATTAGACCTTAGTGCAATTACAATGAAGTCTTGTGCTTTTTT